CAGATGTGCACGGAGCCATGGGAGCTGCAGGGCTTGGCACAGGACAGCTCACAGGCCAAGCCCAGCGAATGTAAGAGAACAAAAGCTGAGCCCTTCCTAGGAGACAGGGTGAGGCTCTCCACGACCCTAGAGGAGTCTCTCTGTCTCTCTGTCCCTGTTCTGTCTCCATCTCTCTCCTTCTGTCTCTGTCTGTCTGTCTGTCTGTCTGTCTCTCTCTCTCATCACCAGGCTCTTCTTTATAATGGATGGAAACTCCAGTTGACTAGGCTGGGTCTTTTGAGACAAGGAGGCAAAGCTCCTAAGATCTCTGCCATGCTTCACCTGCTCCAAGATTATTTATTTTCCCACACTGTAATAATTCTGAACTGTACACAATTTTTATAATTAATATTATTAGAAAACCACACATCATTACACTTCTGGCAGCATTTCTCTTGCTTAGTTGTACAGGAAATAGGCACAGATTTCAAAGGTGTATCTTAGATTTGTTGAAAATGTTTAATCTTGTGAACCTGAGTTCTGGAAATAAAATATCAATAGACGATCTAAAATTAGACACTCAATAGTGACCGTCACTGCAGAGTTAGTCTTTGGAATATAACAGTGTGAATTAAAAAAAAATCCAAATAACAGCATCACAAATAAAATAAAAAAGAATTAAAATGTAGGGGGAACGCACAAGACAAATGGAAAAGTCATCAAAACATTCTTACCATCAAGTACTTGGAATCTCTGAGGCAAACAAGGTCGACACTGGACTGGGCAGAAACGGAATTTAAAGGAATAATTGAAAACATTCTAAAGTGACAGCAACTTCAACTCACAGATTTATGCAAGTTGGCGAATTCTGTGCAGACCATAAAACAAGCAAATCAACCAACCAAAAACTAGCAGCCGACATCCACGCACATTCCAATGGCCTCTGAGAATTGAAACGGAAAGGAAAGGAATCACGTCTTTCCAAAGACACAGCCATAGGACTGACAGACACTTTCTCAGAGGAAGCAACTGAAGACAGAAGTCAGTGGAAAGCTACTTCTAGGGAAATATTAAATAAAAACCCTGCTAACCTAGAATTCCACCGCTAATTGAAATATCCTAAAAATGAAGGCTAAATAAAGCCATTCCCCACAAACAAAAAATTGAGAGAATTGTTTGCCAGCATACCTTCTCTAAAATAAATACAAGAAGGAGAAAGAAACGTTTCAGAAAGAAATGCAAAAGCAACAGTCACAGAAATGTGAATAAGTGGGTAGTTATAAATAAACATTGACTATAGAAAACAAACATATTTGGTGGAGCTTTAAATATGCGTGGAATTAAAACACATGAAAACAACAATGTAAAAAGCAGGAGATAAATCAAAGATGTAGCACAAGTGAGGATGTGACCAAAGCGGTACTTTGTAATGAGTTGCAGTGAGTCTTGGCGCAGGAGGGACGGCCAGGAAGACAGGGAAGAGGGTGATGAACACGCAACAAGTTCAGGAGGAGGAACTGACCTTGCACTGCGCGTGTCAAGTCGAAAGTGGTCCAAAAAGGAAAGTGAGTCCGAAGGAGCTGAAAACAGAACAGAACAGTCTTGGTAAATACCCTGTTACATCATAAATTACATTAAATATAAAGAAGACGAACTTTTCCAATTAAAATGTGAAGTTTCCAGCAAAGCACGGCACACCAAACTGCCTCAACAAATAAAAGATCATTGTTCATCTCCGCAAAAAACCGAAGCAAACAAAACCACCAAGACAAGATATCGCAAAGGATTTCTTCCAAACATGTAAGGAAATAAGAAGCATGCCCATTTCGCATCCGATATGTCAGGGGCAATGAAGAGGACACGCTGCCAACTCACTTTGAGACTCGTTTCACTGAGAGGCCAAAATCTGACAACCATGCGCCAAAGGAAATATCTACAAGTCATTGTTTGCGGAGAAAGATGCTAAAAGTCTAAACGAACCTTTGTAAAATTGATCTATAAAAGAGGATGATGCAGCATAACGGAGTTTGTTCCAAAAACACCTGTGTGCTTTAGCTGTAGACACGGTCGTCTGACCTGACCCCAATCTGCCTTACGTACCCCTTACTCAGCAGCCCTTCTCTGCCCCCCGCGCCCGGACCCCGACCTCCAGCTGCACAACCCGCCTGCCACCACTGGGCACTCGAGTGCCCTGACTTACAGCCAGCTCCTCTGCCTCTATCCTCAAGCCCACGGTGGTTTTAGCTTCTACACGGACTCGCCGAACACCCCACCTGTCAGATCACCCTGCACCTCTGATTACCTGAAGTTCTGCCCCACCCTGGACTCTGCCGCTGGACCCTCGACCTCTGCAGTCATAAAGTCCCCCCCATTCAATTTCCAGACTCCTCCAGGCCTTCTCTCCTCGGCTCACCCAGCACAGCAGCTCAAGCTCATCTGAAACTCCAGGGGATGCCCGCGCTTCTCCCAGCCGACAGGCGCATCGCATGGGCCGGCTGTCAGACTGTCTTTCTGGCTTTTCGCTCAGCTGCTCTCTCTACTAACCCACCCGCCATCGGCCCTGGTTCCCGTCCCGCCTCCTGGGCTCGCTGACTGGCTGCCTCCCCACGATGGCAGGGGCACCGGGAGCTGCTGGGCCACACCCACGGCCACAGGTACCTCGTTTCTCAGTGGGGGCCTGAGTGAAGTCACAGCCACGCTTCTCTTCTGTCGTCTGTGCTTGGCTGACTTTTGAAAGTAGGCGCATTCGTATTGTAGCAAATCGCATGTGACTTACTCCCTACGGAGGTTCAATCCCCCGGCGGAGCTCTGAGTAAATCCAAGGTGCAAGCGTCACCGCAGAGCACATCTCAGAATAGCATGTGTGTTCAGTATCCACATGTGATATTTAAACATGGGTAGACATAATAAAATATATGCAAAGCGACATTAACATAGAGAATGTTTATAAATTATCCTTTCAAAATAGTGAAAATTGTAAAGAACTGAAAGTTGAGTAGTCAGGACATTTTAGATAAATCACGTTATAAATGGAACACGCCGTGCAGCTGCTGAACTGTCATCAGTTTGACTCTGATCTGCTCGGATGGCAAGGGTGTGCGTGTGCGTGTGTGTGTGCGTGCGTGCACGCATAGTCATGTATGTGTGGAGAGAGGGTTTTTTCTTTTGTTTTTTAATGAATCCTAATTGATGTCTCTGTGATTCTTACATCTGTGGCTTTACATCTGTCATTAATTTTGGAAAAATCACAGCCATTAATTCTTCAAATGAGTCCAGTCCACAGATACTAGAATTTGATATTTTTCCACAATTCTTGAATGATCCGCTCGGTATTTAAACTCTGTGCATTTGTTAGTTAATTTTGATCAAACCATTTTCAAGTTTTCAATACGTCGTTCCATGTCCATCAGTCATGGACGTCTGTCTGTCCAGTGCACCATGTCACCGGGCGGGCCGTGTCCTCTGCTGCCGCGTCCCAGCGTGGGTGCCCGAGTCCAGCTGCTACATTCTCACACATGCGACAAAAATAATGGTGTTTATGCCAGAATATTAAGAAAAATTGAATTGTGGGAATAACTGTGAAAAGTGAGAGTCAAAAGCATAAATATATAGTATAGTCACAACTAAATCAAGTAAACCCCATCTTGTTGGGGGAAAGATGCCAAGTCCAGAGAACTGGACTGGACTGTGTCTGCAACAGGGACGCTTGTGAATATTTTTTCCTTTGACTTATAAGAAATATAGATGACTCGTTCTTTTTTTTAAGGATTTATTTTATTAATTTATTCATACAAGAGCTGGGGTGCAGGCCAGAGGTGTGGTGGTGAGAGGATTCACCAGAGAAAGAGTGGGGAGCAGAACAGGCGGATCCACTGAAATCCACTGCCTAGGGGAGCAGCGGGGAGACAGGAGGGGTCTGCTCGCCATGTGGGCAGCTCCCTGGGCAGGATCTCACTGGTGCTGCAGTAGCTGGTGATAGCTTCATAGTGCTGATGCTTAACCCCTGCGCACCAGGGAGGCCCCATATCACTCATTCTAAAAGAATCTCTCATTTTGAGAGAGCATACGCAATGGAAGAGGACACATCCTGGGGTCTCAGCAGAGTGTGACAGGATGATGCTGCTTCAGGAATTCAAAGACCCATTTCAATTCCGAAAGCCTTTCTGCTTATCTGCATCCTGATATTCTGGGTTAAGTGTTTTAAAGTCCTGGAATTTCCCTTCAAGGAATTTGCAAACTAGCAGGCCAAGAAAAATATGAGATGTGGATGGCGATATTGCTCTAACGGGATGAAAGCTAAGAGCCAACAGAATACAATAAAGGAAGAAAATGAAAATACTCCCCCAGGCCATAAATGTCTCTCAACCTCGCACCTCTTCAGAAGGCAGAGGACTTAGCCTCCTGCTGAGACTCCTACTCTGTCACGGTTACAGTGGGCATGTTGCCGTCCATCTTTCTTCCAGGCTAAACCCATGCCTCACCCTGGCCTCGTGCTTCTCTCTGGGCGGCGCCTCTCAATGGGGGCGATGCTGGGCTTTACCTGCCACTTCTGCTTAGGAGGAACTGATGGCAGCGGCTGCCAAGTCTGAACCCGAAAGAGCCAAGCACAGGCAGGTCTCCAGTGTACACCGGATGGAGGTAGGAAAGAGACATACATGACCCAGAAGGAGCAGAACAACGAGCACAACTCATCCAGGCCCTGAGGCCCATGATGGGATGGACACTATCTGCAGGGAGTAGCCTGTGGGGGTTCAGCTCCAATGCAGGTGAACAGTGATGAAGGAGCCGTGGGTGGATGAGGGGCTCATTCCAGGGGTGCTTCTGAAGGACCAGGCTCCAGTGGAGAAAGCCTTGTTGCCCACATGTCAGAATCATGTCAGAATTCGGAAATAATAGGCTTCCCTCCACAGTCTACCCAGAAAATTCCCTGTGCTGGTTGGTTTCTCCATCCCTGGGCTTCCAGTGTGGTCTGCCCCATTCACAGGGAAGTGAACTTTTAATTGTTCAAGATTTTCCTCAAACTGCACCTTCACCCTGTGTCTTTGTGGCCTCTCTCTGAGGTCTGACTCATCTGCCATCTCACCTTACACCAAGCATATGCTTTGCCTACCAGGACTTCGTAAATATTTTTCTTCCAATGTAATAATAGTCTAGGGGAAATCATTGCTGCAATGGAGGTAAGAAGATGTGGATGTCCAGATAGGGTTGAAGGAAATCATAAATGAAATGTAGTGTGGGAGAGAGGTCTTCATCACAGGGTCTGTCCTTGGAGGATCCTCTGGCCGTCAGTCATGTCTGTGGGTCTGTAATCACCACTGGCCTGTGGGATTTAGAGAGCAGGGTCTGAGGTCTCTTCTTTCCAAATTGTTCTGGCTCTCTGGGAAGATATGGGCCTTCTTGGTCCATATCTTGCTTTTATTTTAGAGACCATAATTGCAAATGTCTGACTTTTTTATACTAAGAGAGAAAAGTCTTTTAGAACGTGCTCAGAACCTGGGGACAGAGGGCACATGTCTATGCTGGTCTCTGTAAGAAAATAGCAGGAAGTAATGAGGCATTTTCCCACCTATTCCAATACAAACATTTTTTGCAACATGTAAGTGATAGATTGAGCTTGCAATCAATCAGGGCCTACTTTAAACACTCTAAAAACGGAAAACGTTGAAATCCATTTCTGGAAAAAACTAGAGAATAAAGAAATTTGACTGTAGACTACATGATTTTGGTTTTGCAAGATTATGAAATCATTAACTGGAGAAACAGTTATTGGATACTATAAAAGTGTCATTTTAGGAGACTTTATTGCATTCATTACCTAGGACTAGATGTCAAGACCAGGTCTAGCTGCAAGGGAGGCTGGAAAACTGAAATCTTCAGAGGTAAAAATTGTGGGAGATGGGCTCAGCTGGATTAAGTAATTCCATTAGCCAAGAAAGGCTTAAATAACACACATTTATGATTCCTTCATGCTGATCCCATCTGACTTGTGCAGAGACTTTCTTTCCACCATTACCAGCTTCACTCTAAGACCCCAGGTGACCATCTAGAACACTGCTGGTTAGAGAAGCAGAAGAAAAAGAGTGTGACAACATATGCACTGCAGCCTGAAGTGTCTTCCCAGGAGAGATGTGCATTATTTAACCCTCATTGACCACAGTAAGTCACCTGGAGCTGCTAAGCTTTGATGGCGTGGGGAATGCAAATGTGTCACAAGCCCACAGAGAGGATGAGACAAAAGCTTTCAAAACCTCCCTGATGCTGCAGAAGCATGTTCAGTGCTCATCCAAAAAGACTGGCGCGTGAATCCACAGAGGACAGATGAGGCTCAGTGATGTGGACAGAGAGAGGCACAGGACAGGGGCAGGGAAGGCCGTGGCAGGAGTCATGGCAAGGGCTTCTGAAATCCATGGCCATTTATTTGGATGCTCATGAATCTCGATCTGGTACAGTAATCTGTTCTCAGGCTCAGAAGGGCTCCTCTTAGTTGACATTTATAATATATCACAATTTATTCCCATAAGAAATTGGAGGGTCTGACTCCGTTTACAGACATCCGTTCATTCTCATAGTCATTCATTCACTCATTGGAAAAGGTGTTTCTGTGTCCCTCCAAGAGCTCAAATAGAAGCCAGGGAAGGCGGCATTGTTTCTTAAGGTCACTTTTCTTGGGGGAAAAAAAAGAAAAACATGCCTGAAATTTCCTACGAAGACATGCAAAAGCAAAACTGCGGTGTTAACAATACACCTCCCTGCCAAGAAGGTTTTCACTTCATTCCACCTTTTTAAAAACAAGCCTCCCCCCAGCCCAGTCCTGCACCATCCCTGTGTTTTCTGCTCTCCCTTCCAGCGGCCATGCCAAGGTCCACGACCTTTCTTCCTTTCTTCCGATAGGGCAGGGGGCCTGGCCACCGCCACTTGGACAACTTACTTGAATATCCCCTCAATAGGCTGGCAACGGGGTCTTGCTGGTGATTTCACGCTCCGGTAACTACGCCCGAGTCAGCACCGCTGTTCAAAACACCAGTTGTTAAAGATGAAACGGAGATTGGAGCAGGTGGGCTGTGTGGGCTGAGATGTTACACCTACAGAATCTGCAGCGAAAAAGAACTTCACTGTGCAGTTCATTGCACTTTCAAACATACACACAGACGTGCCTCTACCGGGAGCCAAAAACGGAGACGGAGCAGCCAGAAGGGACCGTTGCTAGCACAAAGGCAGAGACAGCCGCTCCCTTGGGCTCTGCCGAGAAATGCCAATATGCAAAAACTGAAATATGCATTTCTGATTTCTTTGCTCAGTCTGTAGAAGCTTCTGGAATGGAGACCTTGACATTTTTTAATCTCAATAGCCAGCACTTTGCCTTCAGTCCCCAAAATATGTTGCTAGAGAGAGACGAGCCAGAGGCAGCACACTCACAAGATGGGGGAGGGAGTTTTCTTTCTTCCTTCTACAAAAGAATTCACTGTGCGTCCCCTTCAGCCGTGTGCTGCTGGGGGCACCTGGATGACTGTTGAGAGATTCATTCCCTGACGCGTGGACAAAAATGAGAAAAGTAATGATAAAAATAGTTTCTATGTCAATAGAACTTTCAGACCTCTTTGGTCCTCAGCTCTCCCTGACGCCAGCCACAGTGTAAGAGGTTTTGTTTTCTTGGTTTGACTGTAAGTGACACTGAACCTAGAAGAGTACATGATAAAATACATCACAATTTATTCCCATCCGTGTGGGAGGTAGGACTCAGTTTACATCCATTCATTCTCGCATTCATTCATGCACTCACTCGATGAGCTGATCCTGTGTCCATTCTGTGCTGGACTTGATGTTGACGATCACTTGCACTTGTTATTTTCTGGGTAGCAACAAGCTGGCTGTTGTAAGTAAGAAGTCCTTCCTAAAGAGATGGCTTCAGTTGTTGTCTTTGTATTTAGAGGAAGATCCTGGGCCTCCCTGGTGGAGCAGGGGTTAAAGTCTCAGTGCTGTCAAGCTATTGCCGACCACGGCAGCCTGAGTTCGATCCCTGGCCAGGGAGCTACCCACATAGCGCCACAGACCTCTCCTGTCTCCCCGCTGCTACCGTCAGCAGTGGATTTCAGTCAGTCCGCCTGTTCTGCTCCCCACTCTGTCTCTGGTGAATCCTCTCACACCCCCACACCTCTGGCTTTCACCCCAGTTATTGTATGCATAAATCATAAATAAATATTAAAAAAAATCAAAGGGAGATCCCTTACCTTTAAGGACCTTAGCTTTAGCCTCAGCAAAGTACACACAGTGTTATCAACTTGAAGCGTTAATATGAGGGAAAGATGAGAAAGTCCCCACATTTGTTGAGCACACCCTAAGCGCTAGATACAGAACGTTTTAACAATTTATAAATAACGGCCAGATTAGCCAACAAATAAACATGTTTACCCTCACTATGAAAGATGAAGGATCCATTTCAGAGGCCACAGCTTCCTTCTTCATCATCAACAAATGCAAAGTCAGCTAGAGAGAGAGGCCCCTCCCCGGGTTCTCGGCCATGCTGCCCTCCGGCCCCCAGAGCAGGCGCTGCAGGATTTCTAGGGACTCCTCAAAAAACATTCTTGGCGCACGTAAGCCTCGAAATGGACATGAAGTAGGGAAAAGCTGGTGAGCAGGGCCAGAAGGCTCTCCTGGCGAGGCGCTCTGTGTGGAAAAGTCCACCTTCCAGGCCATGCGCATCTGCTGGTTCTCCCGGCTCCCGCACCCAGCCAGGGCAGCCTCTCCCCTAACGGTGAGCACCCTGGGCTCCTGTGTGGAGCCAGCCCCCAGCCGGGGGATGAAACAGATGAGGAAAATCCTGTCTCATCCTGTCTCTAGACCGCCACATGCCCGGGGGCCTGGACAAACCAGGTCCTGCCTTCAGCACCTTCCAGGGTGGTGCGGCTGTGGCTCAGCTCCACGTGGCTTCAAGTTCTTTTTTCTTTTTTATCTACCAACAGGACCAGACCATGCCCAAAGAGATGCGCCAACACCTGCACCACAGCCCCGGGGGGCTGCGCCCTGGCGGGCATCTCAGCCCATGGCGAGGACGGGCTGCGGCATGGCAGTGCCGGTCTCGGCTCCCCAGTGCAGGACGCGGCCCAGGACTCCGAGGACACTCAGGCCAGTGGCTCTGGCGGGCTGGGTCCTCCTCCCGTCGGCGGCCCCAGGGAGTCACCCCGGCAGGTCAGGGTTTCACTCTGGGGTCCCCGCCAAGCCCCCGTCATGACAGCGACCGTCCAGGCTTCAGATCTGAGGTTTAAGAAAGTGGCAGCGCCCCGGCCACACAGCCGCAGAGCGCGCCTTCGGGGTGGCCCCGCTCACGTGGCCGCTGCTGGGCGCCCCCAGGCGAGGGATCCCGACCTTCAGGACACGTGCTCGCCAGTCAGGAGCCGAGCTTCGGGAAAGACAATTCGCCATGTGTGCGACCTGCCCCACGTCCACACCCCTTTCCACGGCGGACCCCGCGAGGCCCCGAGAAGGGGTGCGCTCCCAGAGGCGCCCCAGCGCAGGGCGGAGCTGCAGGGGCTGCGGTTCCCGCCCAGACCCTGCCCCGCGCCCTTGGCCCCAGCTCACCAGGCCGGGGCTCCCGCTCACCACCCGCGCGCCCCGCTGCTCCTGGACACAGGGGACTTCGCAGCAATCAGGAGCCCCCGGCCCCCGCTGGGGACCCTGCAGCCGGCAGCGGCCAGCGGCCTTGCGGGGTCACAGCCCCCCGACCCCCGCGCAGACCCTGAGCGCGGGCACGGCGCCGAGATCCTTCGAGGCCGCCCGACGCCCCCGGAGCCCGGGCCCGCGGCCTGCGCGCTCGGGACTCGGCGATCCCCGCGGACGCGCGTGCGGCAGGGCTGGCCTCGGCGACCCGCCATCCCGCCGGCGCGAGCAGGGGGCGCGGCCCGAGTGCGGGTCCACGGCCCCCCAGGGGCCCCACGCGCGGGAGACACGGATCCACCCGACGCCGCCCCGCACCTCCCCGCCCCGCGGCCAGGCTTCCAGCCGCTGAGGTCACAGACGCCAGAACCGCCCGCGCGCGCGTGTCCAGGGGCGACAGAACCCCGCGGCTCGCCGAGAGACCCCGCGCCTCCCCGGCCGGAGGGTGAGGGCTGCGCCTCCGCCTTTCCAGGAGCGGAGCGTGTGGTTCGGCGGTTCCTGGGAACCTCGGCGGCCCCGCTGGACGCGCGTGTGGCCCGGACGGCCCGGCAGGACCGAGGAGCCGCCGCGGCCACAGCCCCGCGCCCAGGGCGTCGGCGTCCTCGACGCGCCTGCGGGGGACTCTCCCCTGCGGCTCCCCGCAGCGCTGGACGCCCCCCTGTTCCCTAGGAGGGTCGCCGTCGGGAAAGTGAGAGCCACGAGCGAGGGGCGCCGTGGGCTCCCCGGGAGCAGCGTCCAGGGCGCTCAGGACCCGGTCCCGGCGCGGCCAGGTGAGGACGAGACGCGCAGGCCCGAGGGACCCCGCGGCTCCGGGGGCGGACGCTGGGTGGGCCCGACAGCCCGACGCGGGCCAAGTGACTCCGGCGCGCTCCAACGCGGGAGTCCTTGTGCGCCCCGCCGCAGAGCTCCCGGCCCCCGGAGCTGCGCCCGCTGCCGCCAGGGACGCCCGGGCAGGGACCGGCCGCGCTGCCCCTGCGGTGCCGCGGCATCTGGCGGCGCGAGCGCGGCCCCGGGTCCTGGCGCGCCCGTCCCCGCCGGTCCCGTCGACGCGCGCAGACGGCGGCGGGAGCGCGTGGCGCAGCCTCGGGTCACAGGAAATACCGACGCGCGTGTCTGCGCTCGGGGGCGCGGAGGCCGGGGGGGGCGCGGGTGGGACACAGCGCCAGCAGGAGGCGGGGGGCCTGCGCCCCGACACCTGCGGGGCTCGGGGCAGCCTGGTCTCCCCAGGGCGAGGACATCTGCGCGCCCGCGGGAGGAGGCTGCCCTGAGGAGGCTGCCTGGAGGAGGAGGCTGCCCAGAGAAAGCTGCCCGCAGGAGGCTGCCCGGGGGAGGCTGCCAGGAGGAGGAGGCTGCCCGGAGGAGGATCGGCTGCCCGGAGGAGGCTGTCTGGAGGAGGAGGCTGCCATGGAGGCTCCCGGAGGAGGAGGTTGCCTGGAGGAGGAGGCTGCCCAGAGGAGGCTACACGGAGGAGGCTGCCCGGAGGAGGAGGCTGCCGGGAGGGGGAGGCTGCCCGGAGGGGGAGGCTGCCCGGAGAAGGCTGCCCAGAGGAGGCTGCCAGGAGGAGGAGGCTGCTGGGAGGGGGAGGCTGCCCGGAGGAGGTTGCCGGGAGGAGGAGGCTGCCCAGAGGAGGCTGCCAGGAGGAAGAGGCTGCCAGGAGGAGGAGGCTGCCTAGAGGAGGCTACCCGGAGGCGGCTGCCCAGAGGAGGAGGCTGCCCGGAGGAGGCTGCTGGGAGGAGGAGGCTGTTGGAGGGAGGATGCAGCCCGGAGGAGGAGGCTGCCCGGAGGAGGCTGCTGGAAGGAGGAGGCTGCTGGAGGGAGGATGCAGCCCGGAGGAGGAGGCTGCCCGGAGGAGGCTGCCCGGAGGAGACTGCCTGGAGGAGGAGGCTGCCCAGAGGAGGCTGCCAGGAGGAGGAGGCTGCCAGGAGGAGGAGGCTGCCCAGAGGAGGCTACCCGGAGGAGGCTGCCCAGTGGAGGAGGCTGCCGGTGTGGGGAGGCTGCCCGGAGGAGGCTGCTGGGAGAAGGAGGCTGCCCAGAGGGGGAGGCTGCCCGGAGGAGGCTGCTGGAAGGAGGAGGCTGCCCAGAGGAGGAGGCTGCCCGGAGGAGGCTGCTGGGAGGAGGAGGCTGCTGGAAGGAGGAGGCAGCCCTGAGGAGGAGGCTGCCCGGAGGAGGAGGCTGCCCGGAGGAGGCTACCCTGAGGAGGAGGCTGCAGGTGGGGGGAGTCTGCCCGGAGGAGGCTGCCGGGAGGTGGAGGCTGCCGGAGGGAAGAGGCAGCCCGGAGGAGGAAGCTGCCCGGAGGAGGAGGCTGCCCGGACGAGGCTGCCGGGGGAGGCTGCCAGGAGGACGAGGCTCCTGGAGGACGAGGCTGCCCGGAGGAGGAGGCTGCCTGGAGGAGGTTGCCCAGGGGAGGCTGCCTGGAGGAGGAGGCTGCCGGAAGGGGGAGGCTGCCCGGAGGAGGCTGCCGGGAGGTGGAGGCTGCCGGAGGGAGGAGGCAGCCCGGAGGAGGAGGCTGCCCGGAGGAGGTTGCCCAGGGGAGGTTGCCCGGAGGAGGAGGCTGCCGGGAGGGGGAGGCTGCCCAGAGGAGGCTGCCCGGAGGAGGAGGCTGCCGGGGGAGGCTGCCAGGAGGACGAGGCTCCTGGAGAACGAGGCTGCCCGGAGGAGGAGGCTGCCCGGAGGACGTGGCTGGGAGGAGGAGGTTGCCCAGGCGAGGAGGAGGAGGAAGCCAGAGGAGGAGATGCCCAGTGGAGGAGCCTCCCGGAGGAGGTTGCCTGGAGGAGGAGACTGCCCAGAGGAGGCTGCCAGAGGAGGCTACCCGGAGGAGGTTGCCCGAGGGAGGAGGCTGCCCCGGGGAGGAGGCTGCCCAGAGGAGGCTGTTGGAAAGAGAAGGATGCCCGGGGGAGGCTGCCAGGAGGCTGAGGCTGCCGGAGGAGGAGGCTGCCGGAAGGAGGAGGCTGCCAGGAGGAGGCTGCCCAGAGGAGGCTTCCTGTAGGAGGAGGCTGCCCAGAGGAAGGTGCTGGGAGGATGAGGCTGCGGGAGGGAGGAGGCAGCCTGGAGGGGGAGGCTGCCCGGAGGAGGCTGCCGGGAGGAGGAGGCTGCCCGGAGGAGGAGGCTGCCCGGAGGAGGCTCCCCGGAAGAGGATGCCTGTAGGAGGAGGCTGCCCAGAGGAGGCTGCCAGGAGGATGAGGCTGCGGGAGGGAGGAGGCAGCCCAGAGGAGGAGGCTGCCCGGAGGAGGTTGCTGGGAAGAGGAGGCTGCCGGGAGGAGGAGGCTGCCCGGAGGAGGAGGCTGCCTGGAGGAGGCTCCCCGGAAGAGGCTGCCTGTAGCAGGAGGCTGCCCAGAGGAGGCTGCCGGGAGGATGAGGCTGCGGGAGGGAGGAGGCAGCCCTGAGAGGGAGGCTGCCCAGAGAAGGCTGCCAGGAGGAGGAGGCCGCCCAGAGGAGGCTGCCGGAGGAGGAGGATGCCTGGTGGAGGAGCCTCCCGGAGGAGGTTGCCTGGAGGAGGAGGCTGCCCAGAGGAGGCTGCCCTGAGGAGGCTGCCCTGAGGAGGCTGCCTGGAGGAGGTTGCCCGGGGGAGGCTGCCAGGAGGCTGAGGCTTCCGGAGGAGGAGGCTGCCGGGAGGAGGAGGCTGCCCGGAGGAGGCTGTTGGAAGGAGGAGGCTGCCCAGAGGAGGAGGCTGCCTGGAGGAGGATGCCCGGGGGAGGCTGCCAGGAGGCTGAGGCTGCCGGAGGAGGAGGCTGCCGGGAGGGGGAGGCTTCCCGGAGGAGGCTGCCCGGAGGAGACTGCCTGGAGGAAGAGGCTGCCCAGAGGAGGCTGCCTGGAGGAGGAGGCTGCCCAGAGGAGGATGCTGCCCGGAGGAGGCTGCTGGAGGGAGGAGGCAGCCCGGAGGAGGAGGCTGCCCGGAGGAGGAGGCTGCCCGGAGGAGGTTGCCCAGGGGAGACTGCCGGGAGGAGGAGCTGACGGGAGGAGGAGGCTGCCCAGAGGAGGAGGCTGCCGGTGGGGGGAGGCTGCCCGGAGGAGGCTGCTGGGAGAAGGAGGCTGCCCGGAGGAGGCTGCTGGGAGGAGGAGGCTGCCGGAGGGAGGAGGCTGCTGGGAGGAGGAGGCTGCCGGAGGGAGGAGG